AATAGTAGCTGTAACTACAAGAATAGAGAATTAGGAGATTTCCTTTTTGCATATTATGTTGGATGTGCTTAGTTTAATTTTGAGAATGGTCGTAAGTTCCGAGAATTTGATATTTAAAGTTAATTTTTAAATAAGAAAATTTGTTTAAATTTCTAATAAATTTGCTTTCTGCAAAATGTGGTGAATACTTATTTGCATTTCATATTGTAATTTAAAAGTCAGCATTGTTGTAAGAGTTTCATGTTACAATTATGATTTGGAAAATCATTTTTGTTACTTTGTTTTGTTACTAGTTTTGGTAAGAATGAGTAATTACACTATTTTAATTTAGTTGTATATAGGATTATAAGATTTAGGCATATAAAAAGAAAGACGACATTTAGGCATTTATAACAATTTTTATTTGTGTTTGCACTGTAAACGATAATACAAATTATTGATAAAGCTCAACTATAATTTTAAAATGTATGTAACAGGAAGTAAATAATAATTTTGCTATTTTATTACATGATGATAATATCGAACACCAAAAATTATCTACAGTCACAATACAGGTACTAAACACCGTTTCTATGCTGATTAACTGTGAATGAAATCCTACTTTTTAATACAAAATTAAAGTATTTCATAATTCGCAATCAATATTCTTTCTATAGATTTCACTTTATTGCATGAATGTATAGTTTACAAAATATTTTTATTCAGAGTATTAAAAATAATAGACATCTGATTCTTGATTCTGTTAATCCATTATTCTTTTAAAAATGTTTCGGATATTACCAGTCATTAATAACCTTTAACATTTAAATAAAACTTTCAGAGTAATTAGAACTTAGTGTATTCATGTAAATATATATACAAATTGACAAACATTTCTTCATATTTAATGAATTATTAATGCGACTTGATGTATTAAATATTGAGGAGTCTTAGATGATTTCAGAGACATTCGACATTTGTTTAAAAATGTCGAGAATTTTTAAGGATATTCCAAAATTAATTAAATGTCAAATTACCTTAAAGAATTACCAAATGGCGCTGGGTAAGTTTACACTAATTAGGACTTATTAGAGCAAATTAGCCTCACATGCTGAAAATAGCATTATAATTATTTGGAATTAGTATTTCTTCCTGAAAAGATTGATAATTAACGTATATTTGAGAAACAAAGATCTTTATTTTGATGCATTGTTAACTCAAATTTATTTTTGCATTTAATGCTCGAGGCAAATGTATATACTGAATTACAGAACTACTAGTTCATATTTTATATGAAATTTTAATTTAGAAATTCATATTTGGTAATTGAAAATCTGTACTTTGAACCTAATATTTATTTCGAAATTATATATATAATATTTGTAAGAACTGTAGAAGATACAATGGTCAACAAAAAGAAAAGAAAAATTACTCAGTTCTGCATCTCTAATTCTACTAGGCCTACGAATAAAATTCGAGATGCATTTCATGTTTCCAAAGCGTGATTCACACATAGCACTCTGGTTTTATGGTTATATGGGCACTCTGGCAATTTAGCCCATATTTGTATATAAGAGATTCATGTAGTTTCAATGAAATGCACTTGACGCAGAATTTGATTTTTCTGAAAAGACAAGGTGAATTTTTCCCAATTTTAGATTTTAAATCCAAAAGTATGCGAAAGTACTAAGTTTTGCAAAAATAGCAAAAGGTGTTTAAAAAAAATTAAAATTTAGCTCCATAATGTAATTCGAATTTAGTTTTTATTTAATAACATCGTTTTTGGAATTCATTTTTCCTCTTTTCTTTCTACATAATCGCTAATTTAGTTTTGCTAAAAAAATGAAGGCATTTTTATCTCGTTTTAACGATTAAATTCGGTAAAAGTAAGTAACTTTCGAAAACTTGCAGATTTTTGTTCAACCCTTTCGAATATATAGGTGTGAATATATTCATGCATATTTGTGTATGTATATTAATATATATATATATATATAAATATATATATATATATATGTGTATGTGTGTGTGTGTGTGTAAGATAAAAAACATATGAAAACAAACTTCTAGTTTTAATTGGCTATAACCTTGTTTATTTTATATTTTATTTGGGGACTTATTGTCTCTGTACTAAAAATAACGCTATAAGTGTTAACTGCGTCATTCAATCATGCCATCGTACGTAAAGCTTAATGCAAACCAAAACTTAAAACTGAAACTTTTGACACCCTCCCCTCTTCTCCTGAACTCATGCGTACCTATTTGATTCAGCTTCTCTCTGTGCACTGCTTGGACATAATTTTGCTGTGCTCGCTTCCTATCGCAACAGCATCAAAAATGTAAACAACCTGGAAATAGGCACGATTAGAGTGCCAAGTGATTGTGGCCACAAATGTCAATTTAAATAAAAAGGAATTTAATTCGGCTCGACTATTTATAAATGGACGGACGTTCTAAATCTCAAGTATCTATGCTTCTATATTTCAGTGTTCTTACATCAGTGCTTCCAAGATTGTGGTTTCATGAATGACGGGAAAAGTCCCATTTCACCGAAAATTTTGATACAAGTTTGTGCGGCTTTCATAATCAAATCTTTCATATGGTGTCATAAAATCGCAATGCTTTAAAATATATATCGATATATATATATATATACCCTGCCTGAGAAAGAAAATGCAACACCATGAAAGATTAGGTAGAATGTTATGTCAACTGATGCACAGACAGAGCATGTGTAACTGAATAAGTGATGTTATTTATAGTACGATAAAATATACCGGAAATCAATAAGATGTAAGACTACCTTTCACGGTGATGCTGTCAGGAATTGTATGTCTTTTGACTTGCTTTGGAAATATTACGTATCCTGAATAGGAACAGGGAGCTTACGAGTACTAAAGCTATGTTCAAGTATGTGTGGAATAGACGATGGAACGGTGTACTGAACCCTTTATTCTCCATTAATTTATAGGTGCTCCCGCACTTCGGGATACAGAGACCAACCACTTGTGGTCTGAACGTAAAAAATATAAAACTACTAACTAAATCTCTAACTAAAAGCTAACTTTGAATTAGGTTACAAATGCCTAACACTAAGACTGGCCTTTTTAAAAGGTTACGTAAGTAGTACGCAAACTGCTGAAGCACAATACGTTTTAAATATCAAGAGGACTAAACCTCTGGCCTTAAAGGCAAGCAGCAACTAATTGAAAACTCGTAAGAATGCAGTGGCAAGGCGGCTCACTTCCTCTCTCTTTCTAACTCTTGCCAAAAAGCCACAACTTAAATACTTGGGCGTTAGCAAGTACAATTTGCATAAACAAGTTAATTCATTTAATTCTGGCCGGAAGTGGAAAATAAGAAAGGTAGTAAAGTTTTAAAATAAAATAAACGTTAGTAAAACTTAAGATCCTTATAATGCAAGCTACAACCCTTCGAGGTACAGATTCAGTTAGTGTGCGGATAGTGTAAGGAATGCTCTGAACCCCCCTCCAAAGTTCGTCCTCCGATAACGGCTGAAGATAAACAGCAACAAATCGTGCCCCAGATGCACTCGATCGGTTAAAATTTAGGGTACATCGCAGGCCAACAAATCTATGAGACATGCTGCAAGTCTTCTCAACTAATGAGTAGTATGCAGTGTCTCGTTATCCTGCTAGAAAATACCGTTTCGCAGCCGCTGAAGGTTAGGTAGCCGAAACGGCTGCAACACATCAACATATTTTCGTGCCGTTAATATGCTTCTGATAGTAACAGGGGTGTCCTGCTATCATGACTAATGGCCCTGCGAACATTTATGCCACGTTGATGAGCGATGTGGAGTTCAGCAATTGAGTCGGATTGGCTGTATCTCCCCGAGAGCCAATCCGACTAGTATTTTATGACTGTCATCGGATTCTGAACCGGTGACAGTCATAAAAAATTTTTACCCCTCGAACAAATCGTCCGCTTGCTGGAACGGTGTCGTCGATCAGGTATCTCTTCATTCACGACTGCCTCCTGAAACGCTGAACTTTGTAACACTGAACAATGAAATTTTGGATTCTCTAAGCAGCAGAGAGTAGCTACAATTGATTCGTCCGCAGTTTCCTTCCCTTTTATTTTGAGCTATAATCACGTGACTAACTTGTATCTTATATCATCTGCATGACTTGTTCCGCTACGGTTTCCTCGAAATTTGCATACTTATACGGCCGAATATTCATGGTGTTGCATTTTCCATGTTGGTCAGTCTAAATATTTAATGAAACAGACACTTATTGTGACGAAACAAGCTTAGAATTAATCAATATATCTAAGCAAAAAGTGTATATGCGATAGTATATACGCGATACATACATATATTTTCGCATATATGCGAAAATTTTGATTGCATAGATACTGAGCTCGTAATGAAGAGCACTCTTGGCAGAAGAAGCAAATTAAATATTTATCTTCATTTTAAAAAACATGTTACAGCCACAAACACCTTGACACAGTATTAGTGTCTACTTCAAAACGTTTGCATTTTAACTAGAAGGAATTAGTATTAGTTCTCAATGCATTTTGACTGGATAATCAACACTGCTGTAAAATTATTAGCGACTGTTTGAGTTTTAGACAAATAAAAATATGTAAATTATAATTAAAATTAGCTACTTTGTAATGCTTACTTTTAAATTGGCATTTTCCCTCTCTGTTCTAAAAATAGTAAACTTTTTCTGCACTTAACATTCTCTTGCTTCATAAATTTTGTATTAAAAAAAAATGCTACATGCTGATTTTTAAGAAATTTTAATCACTCTGTTATATTTCTTGTGAAATTCATTCACCTTATCCAGAACAAATAAAAGCTCTGTGCATGTGAGCTATTGTTCTTTCAAAACCTCCAGAAAAGCAGGATTACCTTATATATAAGGCAATCTCATATATGGAATAAGAGTGTATATTTGAAAAAATATATATGTATGTTTCTCTATATTAATTTACATATATTTATTCATACTGTGCCCCATATACACTAAAAATATATATAATTTCAGAGTGGATGGCGGATTCATGCAGAGGAAGGTGCAGGGAACCAAATGATGCCCACTCGTGTGGTTGTACTGAAAGTTGCTATGAAGCTGCAAACTGCTGTGGAGATTATATGACTATGTGCCTTGGAAGTAAGTATTTTTATGAAGTAAAATCATTCAAATCGGCTGAAGGTAACTTCGCGTAATGAAAACAAATTCAAACTGTATATGGGTATTCTATAAATTAAAACCGCAGTTCACTGATATTATTTAATAATATATTTAATAATTAATTTATAATTAATTTTGACCAATATATAGAGAGAGTGTGAGCTAATAGTAGGAATTTAATAAGTAGCAATGTGAATTATTCAAATGACGCTTTAGCAGTGTTGCGTTAGCTTCACATTACTAAAGTCATGATTTTAATGAGCATTTACCAAACAAACGCTCACATTCACACCAAAAAGACTAATAATGCAGAAACGTGACTCTAGGTTATTTCATTTTTGAGTCTCTTGCATTCGGCAAAATGTAAGATATTTATCGTTCAAATTTACTATAATTGATTGACAAACTAAGCTATTTAAAAACAATATATGCCGTTCTTAAGAATATTATTTTTTTACTTTTTAATCTGATTGATTTAAGCAAAAACACATTTAATTCACATTATATACGATTAAAAATATTAAATATTATATAGTTTTTACTTTTCAGATATACAAAAGGTATATAGAATTCCCATGTTAGTCTAAATGTATATTAATCTAGTAATTTATGTTTCGCTATTTCACCAAGGCATCTTTATTGATAATCATTATTGATAAACCATATTATTCTTTAAAATAGCTCTGTCGAAAGACCATTAAAATCTAAACTCTTTCAATTTTTTCCCTCTTTTTTTTCAGTTGTTGAAAAGTAATTACTTTAAATTATAGACTAAAGATCAGGACAAATACAAATTTAAAATATCTTATAAATAATAAAAAAGAAATGCAAATATAAAGCAATGAATTAGGAAGAAAGAATTGAAATAAATGCAACGTTTAAATGTACGATTACCTAAAGCGTCGTTTAAATGTTCTCGTTTTCCTGAAATAACTCCGGTGGTTATAGTTTTGCTGTTGCTAGATTTCATACTTTAAATGTAATTTTTTATGTCAGAAATACCACCCTTAAAAGAACAATATTTTCATATGTTAATAATCATTACTAAGAAAATATTTCTTTAATTTCACTCTTAAACCTTTCACTTCTGTAATTATGTCTCACTTAACTATTATAAAATGTAATTCTGTATTAACAACACAGTTCTGACGAAAATGGTTAGGAGGTTATCATGACTCGATTTGCATTAAGAGTTTCTATGTTTTTCTTTTCAATACATTAAGGCATTACGTAAAAAATATTAGAATGTCATTCTGCAGACTTAGAAAACGCCAATACTGTAAAGAGTATTATTTTCAAATCAAAGATTTATAAAAGAATAAAAACGCCAATACTGTAAAGAGTATTATTTTCAAATCAAAGATTCATAATTTAAAATTTGAAACCAAAGGCAAAGAATTTTATTTTTCCTTTCTACTATTTTCACCTGAGATTTGGTATAATATTTTAATAACTAGTTAAAATTATCTGAAAGATTTTATCCACTAAAACCAAAACCTTTATCAAAAATTTGTAGGGATTATTTTAATTTTCTAATAGTTATTTTTCCACCTACATCTCCCAGCCAGAATGAGATTTCAGTATCGCATTTTATGTAAATGAAGTAGAGCCAATATTTAATGGGAATTCGGTGACTTACGTAGAAGAAACTAGTGGTTTTCAGTACAGCTTGTTCTGCTTTCGTCCCATGTCGTTGCTTTAAGCATTATGTCCATTACGTACTGCCATAGTTTTACGTGCCTGTTAGTATTCGCCGATGAGGTTTAATTTACGGGCCAACTCGGATAGTTATCTTACAGCTTCCGCTAAAGTTTAGCTAGTTCGAATTAGATTAGTTTATTATTTTCTATCTTAAGTTAAAAACCCAAGTGAAGGCTTTCCTATAAGCCTGAGAAAAGACGTTTGTTAGTATTTCATTTAGTTAGTGAATAAAAGAGTATTTTTGTCCTTCTTTGGATACTTGTAAGAAGACCAGCGATTAATCGCTAGACACTTCCTTAAAGTTCCAGTAGCCAAGGACACGCAAATTATCTAGAACTTTATAGATTAAATATCTATATGTGAATAGAAAAAAATTACATTTGTTTTGCTTCATTTATTTATTATTATTTTTTTTTTGCTTCATTTTTTTTTTTTTTGCTTCATTTATTCATTATTTTTTTTGCTTCATTTATTTATTATTATTTTTTGTTTTGCTTTTATTTATGACATAAGATGGAGCATTATTGTTACTATTTTCATCATCTAAAGCAGAGGACGTCCATGTTGATAGCTTAACATCTGCTATTGTCTCTATATTTCTACTTGTTTCCCGTTCAAAATTGATTCTGATGACTCAAATTAATTTCTATTCAGTACATTTCCCCATAATAGCTGTATGAAAATTCGCTTCAGTAAATAAGAAATTGGGCAGATAAAAAACTGGACACTGAAACGGAAATTGCATCTCGACTCAGAATTTGGAGAAAAAACGAGAAATAAAATTCTTAAAGTAAGTTAGGATATAAAACTGACGAATTTTTTCAGTCTCGAATTCTCGCAGGGGAAGATAAAAAAATGAAATTAAATAAAATAAAGACGGAATTTCAAGAATTATTGGCTTCAGAAGAATAAAAATCATCAAGAACTCTTAATGTGTTTCGTTTAAATTTCTAAGCATTCTCACTTTCTTTACGCTGGATTTGGCGTGATATAGATGCGTCAGAAGGAAAACTTCTTGGATTTATAGATTTCGTTATTTCATTTTAAAGTTCTTTTCGTAGTAACTCCATTCCTTATATATTTTTTTTTTTTTTTTTTTTTTTTTTTTTTTGTAAACCTTAAGATTTTGCCTTTGGCTCTTCAAGGATTGAAGAAATTTATTTATGTGAATATTTGCTGTCTTTCTTTTTACAGAGAATGAAAAGAATTAACGTTGAGCATACTGAATGGCTTCAGTATATCAATAAAACTATGCGTGCAAGATTTAAATTCTTAATGTAGTTTAGGTTCAAAATATGAAAATCATTATTAAAACTCTTTGTTATTTCACTGGTTTATAACATTGGTTTTGAGTTTTCTTTGTATTCCTTTTATAAGAAATAATTAATCGAGTTTTAGCAACAAAATATGTAGATTCACAGACTCTATATTTACTAAACCATTTAACATGCACAAAACATTGTTCAATCAAAACGGCTCGGAAAAGTCATTCAAGGATTTCATAATTCTATTACGGAAAGCTACTGTGTGCGTTGAGAGTGTATACAGAGACAGGATTGCCAACTGAGACATAATGATTGCTTTTGAATTTCGATTGCAATATTATCGAGGTTTGCTTATATCATGGATACAAAACAATAAAAAAATACGGTAAATAAAATGCTATGTCTACGCATGTATTTCGTTTAATACTAAACAATGTTTTTAATAAATGGCCAGAAAATATATGCTTTTGTATAATCCGCATACTTCATTGATTTCTTTCGTCGATGCGTGCATGTAACAGAACGTCATCATCATGCAATAAAATGATAATTCTTCGTGTCATTTTTCACCTTATTCTTTGACAACAAAAGGAAAGCAAAATTGGTATATCGTCACACTTTAAAGAACATTTTTCACGTTTGTATTGCTAGCTAAGTCTGTGAAATAATCTGCATTTGTCTATATATTTTATGGCATTTATTGTTTGCATGCAAACATATTAGATTATAGAGGGATTAGTTTTCAAATTTCTTATATTTAAATTAGATTACTAACTGAAACTGCGTTTTTTATTTTGGAACCCTAAACAGTGAATAACGCCCCGAATTTTATGAAAAAAAATAAATTCTTTGCAATATTTTTCAGACTTGGAAATAATGTTGTTAGAAGAGAATGAGAATTACAGAACGTTTGCTATAGATTTTCTAAAATTCGGAAATAATTCTTATTATTAATTTAAACTTTAACTAGTTTGGCGGAAAATGTTTACATGTTCGAGTCTTTGGTTCCGTAAATAAAACAATAATTTTTGGAATTAATATTAAAAATATGTGATAAATTGTTTATGAAATTAATTAATAATAGCATACTGAGACACATTTGATATTTTTAGATAAATGTAAATGGCTATTAGAACGAAATACGTTATTCAGGTTCTAAAGCACTACAATGCACAATGTTGCCAGATAAATAAGAAAGGGTGCTTAAGTGAAACTTATTGTTGAAGTCCCTAAGTGCCTTGCTATAACATTTAGATATTAAGCAGGCGTTTTCTAAATAGCTTCGCACAACTTAACCGACATAATACCGACATAATATTACATCGGATTTAAGTTGTACACCAGATCACGTTTCATATTTACTGCTATTATGTTTTACTTACTGCCATTGTGCAACATTAAATTTTAAAATAGATCTGGATTAATTTAATTCAGGAAAAATTTTGAATAATTTTTGATAGGAAATTAAATAACTTAATACGAGCCTTTTAAAATTTTCTCATTCTTATAGATACTGAAGCTGTGGAAAGTGATATCCCTGAAGAATGGGCTGCTACAAATGTTTCCTCCACGCATTCATCTTCACGATTACCTGAAGCAACCACAACATTAATTCCCCATGTTTCGACAAATATTCCATTAACTTCCACAAGCTCATCTGTGAGTACACCAAGTACGGCATTAGCTTCAAGCCCGACACAAATTACAAGCTCTACACAGACAACAGGTACGGTAATGCTGGCACACTCTACACAGGCAGCAAGTGCCACACTATCTACAAGCTCGATACAGACTACAAGTACAACGCACTCTACAAGCTCTACGCAAACTACAAGTACGACGCAATCTACAAGCTCTAAGCAGACTACAAACACGACGCAGTCTACAAGCTCTACGCCAACTACAACACCGGGAACAAGCCCAAACTGGCCTACAGGCGGGGAACCAGAAATAAGTACAACGACTTTGAAAACTATACAACTTTCGACAATGAGCAGACTAATAACATCACCACTTTCTCAAGGAACTGTAAGCGCTGCACAACCAAAATCAGAAGAGATAACCACGAATAAATCAGCCCTTACATTTGCGTCAGTGACTACGCCAGTACCTACAGTTGAATCGACGACAGAAAGTACTCGTAAAACATATAATCTAAGGCCACGAACGCAAAGAACGTCCACTCCTGTTACTCAAACATTTTCAACAACCCCAATTATTGCGAACTCAACTACTGAAAGAAAAGACAGTTCTTTCAGTTACCCTTCATTTCAAAGTTCACAGGAAACACAAAAAGAATTTTCAAAAGCATCAGTTTCACCAGAAACATACACAACTCAAAAGGAATTAAATGATTATAATATAACAATGCCTAAAGCTTCCTCAGGTACTCCTCTGTTCACTACAGTATCTATACTTGAGCCAACATCAAAAGCTGAGACTATTAGAAGTACTGTGAGAACTACATTAATAAGCATAACACCAAAAACATCAACCACAATTTTACCATCCACTACACCTTCGACTACTTCACAAAATTTCGAAATTGCAACATCTACTATTTCATCAATCATCCAATTAATAACTGGCACGCCAACTCATACGACATCAAGGAGAAAATTTTTTATACCGTCCACGATAAGAGGCATTAGCTTTCCAAGAACTAGTTCTGTTGTCACAACAGTAACAACAATTGATCGAACGCACCCTACTATAAGAACTATACTATCAACATATGTGCAACGAAAAATGACAGAGCCAACAGTTGAAACAACATCTGAACAGTTTTACACACATGCATCAAAGGCTGCGTCTACAGCTTCGGATAACAGCAAACCAACAGTAACCATAATATCTGTTACTATAGTCATAGTTCTGTGCCTTGCTGGTGGAATTATATATTACTTGAGAAAACGAAAGATTAGAAAACAGTCAAAACTTTCTGATGACTCAGAAATGAGATTTTTATCAGATAATGAAATAATTGAGTACTCTGATGCATCATTTCTGGACAAAATGAACACATGAATGCTGATCTGACATGCCAAACAATGAACAGTGAAGCTACAAATTAGTTAATCATTTCTTAAAAACTTTTAACATCAGTTTTCAGTGTTTCATAAAACGTACTTCATTGAATTTTTGAATGCTAAAGTATTAAAGAAGCGATGTTTTATTTAAATAGCTGCTGTGTCATTATATAAAGTGATTATTTACATTTGTTCATTAAGAAGTGAAAGTTTTTCATCTGTAATTCAAATTTATCATTTTTTAGATATAAAAATAAAAATTGCGAAAACCTCATCATGTGGATCTTTAAAATATTAGATATTTAAATATTATCTGGTAATATAAGAGATCTTACTTCTTACATGGCCAAACAGCCATGTAAATAAACTGTATTATAAAAACAAAACAAAATAAATTGCCGTGTTAGGATTGTATTCAAAACTATGCTATAAATATTTTTAATAAGGATCGGTGAACTTCAATATGATGACTTTCTACTGCAAGTATAAGTATATATTAGATATTTTCCTCATGAGTAGTTTAAATTTTAATAAAAACTTTATATATAAGGGGAAAAATCGAGAGCTACAAAAACCTCTTCCAACGCATAAACTAAAGGGCAATATCTGCCGTAACAATTTTGTGAAGTTTCTTTTTAATTCTTTAATTCCTTTCAGAAAATGAAAACACACACAGCTATAAAATAATGAAAAAAATCGATACAATCTGTCCGGGTGGCCATAATTAAATTGAAAGTGCTCACAGTGTTCTGTAGCGCTATCTATTTGCGAGAATGACGCCACATTTTGTAGGAAGATTAAACAAGACGGGGGACGAAGGATTCCGCGAAAAAACAAATTAGTTCCAAACGTCACCGCTAGAACGGGGAATATTTGGCTCTGTGTGATAGAAAATAGAGTGTTAACAAATGCAAATCAATACGGAAATTACCTTTTATTTTGCATTCAAATGAGGTTCAATGTGGCTGCCGTTGTTGTGGACCACATATTGCATTCTGTGCACAGTATGCACAACAGCAGAAAGTAACATGTCTGCAGGAATCTCCCGTACAGTCCGTGATATATGTTATCCTTCAACGTAGACCTTGGACTTAAAGTAACCCCATAACCAGAAGTCGCATGGGGTAAGATCAGGCGACCGAGGTGGCCATGCAGTTGGAAAGTAGCGTCTAATGTCACTTTCTGTTGTGAATTTCTGTCGTAGCATCTGTTGTACCCGTACAGCAACGTGTGCAGGGGCTCCATCTTGCATGAAAATGACTTCCCCCAGGCATTGTTGAAGTGCCGGAATGACAAAGCTGTTCAACATGTGGCGACATTTCTCTCCGGTAACAGAACAGGTTTCCGGTCCTGTCGGGGTAATGTTCTCATAGAAGAATGGACCTACGATAAATTCCGCTGTGAAGCCACACCAAACAGTTACCTTTAGTGAATGTAAGGGAATTGCTGTGACTGCATGTGGTGATTTGTCATCCCGAATTCGGCAGTTCTGGGTATTCACAGTTCCATTTAAGTAAAAGTGGGCCTCGTCTCCCCATAAGATTTTCCACGGTCAAGCATCATCCACCTCCATTCGGGCAAGAAAGGTGAGAGCAAAAGTCAATCGCTTATCATGGTCGGGGTACAGTAACTCCTGTACACGGCTGATCTTGTACGGATAGAAGTTGATAATCTTTCGTAAGATTTTCATACCGTACTGTAAGGCATATCCATATTCCGAGCTACTCCACGAGCGACTAGAGGTGGCAGCAATATTGTCTGGTCCTCTGTCGACAATCGCCGTGGCAACTGCTTCGATTGTATCCTGTGGTACAGGTTTTCGTCCTCTGCCTGACTGACTCAGAGAACCTTCAGAGAACCTTGTTTTCTCAAACGTCGCAACCATTGCTTTTAGCCCATTAACTGACACAGGACCATTACCTTTATGCATTTTTTTTTTTTTTTTTTGTGCGTTCTAAAAGCACGAAGAGCGGCTGACGCGTTGCACTGGTTGAGGTAACAGAAAAAGAATTTGACCAGTAACGCACGCTCGACTAAAGAAGAACATTGCACATAAACTTTCAATCCGATTGATTTCGAAACGTAACACATTGCCTTTTAAAACCCAAGCAGCTGGCACTGTGCGAATGGAATGTAACGTGAAATTTGAATAAAGAACTTCTTCTTCTGCTCAGCGTACGTGATATTGCAGATCACGAGACTTTATCGGTGTTTATGTAGATTTTACGCTTTTTTAAAAGTGTTGCCATATTGCACTTGAACTAAATCAGAAAATGTGCATAATAAAAGGTAATTTCATTCCGTATTAATTTGCATTTGTTAACACTCTATTTTCTATTATACAGCGCCAATTATACCCCTAGCGGTGACGTTTGGAATTAATTTGTTTTTTCGCGGAATCCTTCGTCCCCCGTCTTGTTTAATCTTCCTGCAAAATGTGGAGTCATTCTCGCAAAAAGATCGCGCTACAGAACGTTGTGAGCACTGTCAGTTTAATTATGGGCACACGTTGTATTACTTAGCCATGCAACTAGGTTGTTCGAACACGTATAGCATGCAGATACTGTTTGACGACCTGGACTGGTTGGAAACTACACTGTTTGATATCTTGCGAAATATATATAAACCATCAAGTGGGAAAATTCTTGTATGAGGGTTAAAATGGGAAGAAATGGATATTTGAATGAAAATTTTATAATTTTCTTTTGTGTTTTTCAACTTATATTTAAGCCTCGTGCACTTTCTAATGCTCTTTTTCTTACAAAGTTAAAAAAAATATATATTTCCGTTCGGATTTATTGACATTCATCCACCCTGATTCCCAAATTACTTCATCTAAATTATATCTGTGTATTTATACTCATAGTTACGATAACTGTATATAGAATAAGGCAACGGTTCTTTGACAGAAGTTCTCCAACAGCATACTGTACAGCCAACATGCACGATAAATACAGACATTTAGACAGCAATCAAAAACGCATAATTGGCTAAAATTATTCCATCGAAAAGATTGAAGCAGGCAATATTTCGAAATTTTTGTTTTTCAAACACCCCTCCCCCCACATACACACATTAAAAACAGCGCTTTATTTTCTATCAGCTGTCAGTAAGCCTCATCTTTAAAATAAGTCGAATGTTGGAAAATATAAACTTTTTAATTGTTAAAATGAGACTTGAAAGAATTGTAGTCTTACAAAAGTATTAAAATACTTTATAAACTTCAAATTTTTAATAATTAATATTTTGAAGTTTAGCAATATTAATTTTCTCTCGTGAATCATGCAGCAACAATATTAAAAACTATATTACAGATATTTTAATGCTGATAAACTTCAGTATAAAAACGTTCTAATGTTAAATGCAAGGACACATTCTGCATTCCTTTCATGACTAGTTTAAATTTAATAGAACATTTTAAAGTTATGGTAAATATCAAGAATTACAAATCCTTATCATTACTTTCGTCAATTTCAAGAGTAAAATTCCAATGAAATTGCGAAATATACTAGTTGATCTTGTGTTGGTCTGCACACTGGGCGCGTATTCCAGAGGTCCGAGAATCGATTCCCGTCGAAGGCGTTGCTCATTTTGCAAGTCTCCTGCTTCCAAAATATACTTAATATATCTGTAGTGGCGCCCGAACTAAAAGGGTGGTGGATGATGATTCTCCATACCCAGGATTGGGCGACTGGGTTCCCTGAAACTCCAATCGTCCTTTAAAAGGGAGATTATATAAGGTATTTCTCCCGCCTTCTTAGCATGCTTTCGTGGTGTGGTGGTCAGCTCGCTGGGTGCGTATTCCAAAGGTCCGTGGTTCGATTCGCTGCCAAGGCATTGCTCATTTCTCATCTCTCCTGCATCCAATTAACCTCATGTCTCTACAACTTTTGGAAAGAAGTTTAAAAGCGTTTTTTAGATTCTGCAACATCTCGTAGCAAGGATATCCCTAGTATCCTGGTAGAGAAGACGTTTGATCCACTTGGAGCTTTCAGTTTAGCTACTGTCTGTCAAATCCACCTCAGAGACATGCCTAGCTATTAAAGACTGGCTGAATGCTGATAGTTCGTCCTGCGTTTCAACCCAAAAGAATGGGCTGGCTGCTTCATGGTTTCCCTCCCATGTCAAGTGAATATGACCCAATTTTCCTTAGAACGTCTTTCACGAACACATCTTTCATCCTAGGCAGATAACCCTTACGTGCTTTGCTGTATTCAGATAACCAGTCAACCATCAACCACCCCAGAACTGTTAATATCAGGCTACATTATTGAGGTCCAATTAATGTTTAGTAACATGGTGGCTTCATGACAAATGCATAGATCCAAATTAATTACGTAGACTGTCGAGTTGCGGCGGATGCGGATTGATAATTGGATATATTTCACAAACCAAAAAGATAATATATGTACATACGACGAAAAAAAATGCAACCGATTCCAGTATAGAAAGTATTATAATTCTTAATAATTAATACATAAAAATATTTAGAAAGAACATACATCGTACAGTCCTGCCTTCTAGGAAGTAGTGACGTAAGTTTATTTCTTAAACTTGGATAATTATCACTGTTCGTGTAATCAGGTTTCATGAATTTACCAAGTAATTTTTTTATCTGATAATTCAAAACGTTTTCAGGCCAACCAGCGGCCGAGCGGTAAAGTCGCTGAACACTGGTAGTTTGGTCCGAGGTTCGAATCCCGCGAACGGGCTGGCTGCATGGGCGTTTTCGTGTTTTCCCCATGTGTAACTTGTATATGAGCCAGTTCCCTTAGAAAGTCCTAAACGAAGGCATCCGTCCTATTAGACAGATAGCCCTCGAGGCTTTGCCGTAATCACATACACATCAAAAAGTTTTTAAATATTCAGTAAACAAGGTGTATAGGTAGTTTCTTTTAATTTTCTCACCCACCAGTGGCTGAGGGTAAAAGACCGTTAAACCGGTTCTCAGTTGTTATGTAAATACTGTCTTGATTATTTCAATCGCAACAAACCTGTATTTCTTGTCCTTTTGTTTCAAAATTCCAAAACATCTTTTTGGCAGTTAATGCTGCGTATATTTCTTTTATTACAATATATCGTTCCCATCTTTCATAATTAAAATTTAATAAATCCACTTGTGCCATTAAACGTTGCGCTATAAATGAAGTAAAATTTGATGTTTAGCAAGCTTATGTTACAAGATCACTCTGTTTGTTTTATGATTTAAAAATATTATTTTTAGTTTAGAGAGTTTCAGAGATTACTTTATGCCATTTTATAATGCATTTAAAA